AATCAAATGAAGTTGTATAGATACCTGTATCTATAGTGATCAAACTAAGAAATTTGCATGCTTGCATTTAAAATAATACAATAAGTATTAACATTAGTTCCTTTAAATTTTAAAATGAAAAAAAGTGTATTTAGGTGGCTTTCAATACCAGTACCATTGTCTTGCATGAATGTTAAAAATGTTTGACACTTTTATTTATGATGACATTTTAACGACACTAAACTCTCCTAACCATCCCGTGTTCCTAAAACCAAATACATTCAAACTTCTCTATGCGGCTTGACTTCGATATAATGATACAAAACGTGGTTATGTTTTACAGTGAGCATCTTTGAGGAATGTTTACCTGGGTAGAACTCACGTGACTACCAGTATTTTAAATAATTTATTCCACGGGTGGGTTCAACATAGGTCATACAGGTAAATAGCTCTTGCTTGTTATAGGAAAAACATTGAACTTTTCATACATTTTTAATATTTTAAGTACAAGCCTAATCATGTACAAATTTCCTACTTTCACACAAGTTTTATATTAAATGTAAAATGCATTTTTTGTCAATCGCACAAGTTTGTACAATGTTAGGCTGACAATAAACAAAAGCTTTGAAATGAATGACCGTCCTCGATTTACTATAGAAAATCACAAATGTCGGCTGACCCCTACCACATTGTATGGCTTTGCTCTTTGTATATTCATGAATTTCAGCGATAAAATTTGTTGAATCTTATGGTTTAGATATCAATTAATGATCTGAGATGGAAAATTATGCTTAATTTAATTCTTCATTTTTTCACATTTTACCAGGGCCCATAAGTGCACTCGTTCTTTAGTGTTTATACAGGTAAAAAGTTTGAAAAAATAAAAATGTGCCAACAAATGGTTTCAAACCAGGACACTAAAAATGTTCATGGTGAGAGTCTGCGGTCTATCGTTCTGGGCTATGCTGACTATGAGGACATTTGTAATGAATATAAACCAGTATGATAGAAATAGGTTTTCACGTTTTTTGTAGGTTTTTTTCTATGAATTTCGACCCTAGGCACCTCTAAAAGAACCTTGTTTTAAATAATTGCTTACTAGATCAAAATCTATCAAAATTTCATAATTTAATTTAGGGGCAGGCAAAGGGTGATTATATTGCATCTATCGGGTATAATTTTCTTATCAGAAAATTGTAGAGATATGCAAGGTTAATTAATGACAACATTTATTTTTCCTTTTTGCCTAATACTTTTATGATTTTCACTAATAAATTGATTATTGAAAAAAGCCTTTAATATGACTGCTGATTTTATCTCCATCTGTTAATTTTCAACACCTTTTCTCATGATTATAGTAGATAGAGAACAGATTATGATTTCTAACATTTACTGTTACAGATCATTTTCTTGAGATAGGTGGAACCAACAGTCAAATACAGACACTTTTAAGAAAAGTAAAAATCTGGCTCAGGTAAAAAAAAAAAAAAAAATCATTTACAGTTTTAACAATCAGTAATTTTACCTTAATTAACTGGAAAAATCTTATTTGACGAAATACAGGTCAAGAATAAAGAGTTTAAAGCCTAGTAGGGATTTTGGTCAATCATTACAGGTAATCTGCAGTCCCTCTCGAGAATTTTACACTCATATGGAGACGCCACCACTTGCCAGTGGAAAGCTGCAAATTCTGTCCTATACTCTGCACTCATGGCCATTGAGCAGTGAGGGGTCTTTTTCATGCCAGCACCTACTGTGACACGGGACCTTGGTTTATAAGGTCTCATCCGAAGGACTGGTCTGCATGTCCCACAGTGGGATTCAAACCTGCGACATAAGGATCAACTCCTTACTTCGCGACTCTAGAGCGGACGCTCTAACCATGGCGCCACACTTGTGACTAGCTCAGTTTTAAAGAAATCATTCAAGATATTTTTTATCAAACTTAATATGCTGATACATATATAATTAGTAAGACCTATTCAAGTATTTCAAAAACTTTTGATCTTTCCTGTGACCTTGACCTCACTTTCCTTCAATTTGCATTTTGCATGATTTTAAAACCATTTAAAATATTGATATTTTAAGGCTATGCATCTATACATAATTTGGTGAGAATTTATCATCTATATCCATTTTTTTTAGATTTCAATTTCAATTTTAAAGAAACTTTTCAAGATATTCTCATCAAACTTCATACACTAACACAAAATTTCATGTTGCATTACTATACACACGGCGGGCATACATGTCCTATGGACATCTTTCTAGTGTATTGCTATTTCTGTTGTTTGTTTACTTCCGGTCAGTAAGTGCCCCCTAGGGGCAAGCCCCAGTCCTGTTTTCTTTTCCAGGGTTGCAACAGCGCCCCCTAGAAAAACAAGTTGCACCATCCAATCAAATTGTGTTTTGTGCTGCTTTATGCCAATGAAATTAAGGCTGGACAGCATATGTATTATATTCTGACCAATGGGGTTGCCGTATTTTCAAATAATTAGGATAGACTTACCACTTCAGCATTCCTTTCATCACTGAAGTGATATACATGGTCAAAAATTAAATAACTTTCATTTTTGTGTCAACTGCAGAGCAGAACGACACTTAGAGATCACTTTACCTGGTGTCTGTCTGTCTGTCTGTCACACCTTATATCTCCAGAATTTTGAGAGGCAGGGTTTTGATAATTAGCATTTATATATGTTTTTGAGCTCATGATACTATACTTTGAAACTGTATGAAATTCAGTTACCACACAAACTTATATTTAAATACTATGAAAATACATTGGGATCAGTATTCCACAATGAATCGTGTTGACTGACAAAGTAACAATTAAAGTAAAGACAGTCTGAAATTCCTTTCCTCCAAGGATTGTTGGAAGCACCTACATGTGTATTGATAAAATGATAAATAGTTATTCCTCATAATTTCAATTAAATTATTCATTTGAGGACTGGGGAACCATATTTTCTTTGATTGCCAGATTCTATCCCAGTCTTTTAAATACTTTTGGATCCTTTTTTTCCTTGCAGGCAAATGCATGAACCTCCATGCTAATATTAAATTAATAGCTGACCACTCTTAGATTTATTTACCTCTTTAATGACGATACCTAGCAGGTGACATATACATTCCTTGAAACACTCTAGTTCCTATTTGATTTTCACTAATATAAAGATTATTGAAAAAAGACTAAGGTGCTCTATAGTGATCAGTCTATTCGTTCATTTGTCTGTCAAATACACATATCCCTTGTTCAGAATACAGGTGACTCTAAATACTTCAAACTTTATATTTTTTAATTAGATACATGTAGCTGCTTTGGAACATCTGAAAGGTCTATTACATTATCTCTAGTTTTACTAGTTTTCTTCATGTAAGTTGAATATATTTTAAACTTTTAAATTTTTATCTTTTCCAGGTAAGAAAGAAATTCAGGAGTTCTTAAATTGCCCTTGGAGTTCTTGGATTGCATCAAACTGCTAAAAGACCTCAACAAAAACAGTGTCTTGAAAATAAAAATGAAAATATTCAGTGAAAAAAAAAATGATGAAAGAGCCACTAAAAATCTTCAAGCCTTTGAGCTGAAATCTGGAAGTCAATCTGTGGACTTTACTAGTAAGTCATAATTACTAAGTCATCATTTGTGTATAATAAATACACTAAACTGTAAACACTTGTTAAAATGTGTATAATTTTTAGATATAATTTGTATCTCATAGACTTCAATAGTTTCATGTAATTTAAGTAATAATGAAAATTTCCTGTTGTCTAGCTAGATTAGAAACTATTATTGTCCAATTTTGGATATTGTGAAATAATTCATCTAGTATGCATACATGTGTGTACACTTACATGTAAATTAATTGTTATAGCAAATTCAATCGATCATTAAGTTGAATGTTGACTAATGTTTTTCATCAAAATTGTTTACACTGAATTGTTTGTGGATTTTTCCATTTGCCCAATCATGTCAAGGAGCACATGGCAGGAAATGCTTTCTCCTCCATTGCACCTGGTGTTTTTAGAGGTCTGTGTTTGCTCTGCTCTAATTATGTATTGTTTCAATGGACTTTAAAGCTTGATCACTGTTGGTAATCTTCATATTTCATATACTATTAGAGTTCTTGAAGAAAACTGTAAAGATTTAACATACAGTATAATGCATGTATATTGCACTTTAAGTACAGTGTATGTGGTTAAGAAATGTTAAATTGTCTCATAGTGCATTGAATTTGTTGAAAATTAGAAAATGTGTTGAAATTTTTTTTGAAATAATGTTAGATTGCAGATTTTTTTAAATCATGCAAGTAAGAAATTGCTAAATATTTTTTAGCTTTTCTGGACAGTCTAGATGAGTTCTTACTATATAACTAGCATTGTCATCCCAGTTAAAATTTAAGGAACAAGGTTCATTCCTAAGCTCTACCTGGAAAAACTTGCATGGATTAAAGCACATTAACAGATTTACTTCAGATGCTTGACCTGATCTACATTTTCCTCATGTGTTTTTTTGTTTTTGTTTGTTTGTTGTTTAACATCCCTCTCAATAATTTTTCATCCATATGGAGATGCCACTACTTGCTGGTGGAGAGCTGCAAAATTTGACCTATACTTTGCACTCAGGGCCTTGAGCAGTAAGGGATCTTTTTTGTGCCCACATCAACTGCTAGGCGGGACCTCGGTTTATATGGTCTAATCTGAAGGACTGGTCCCCACATCCCCAGTGGATTTGAACCTAAGACTTAAGGATTAAATCCTTACTCGCGACTCTAGATTACAAACTCTATCCTTTGCGCCACATGGGGGACTCCACAAGATTAAGTGTTTTGAGCAGTCCTATTCTCATTTAATTATAAACTCTATGTTGAACAAACCTGCAAAGATGATGTATGTACATGTAAATGTTTCAGGGTACCAGTCCTTGATTTGACTTGGATTTTCTGGATTAATGACCAGTTTTTTAGAGAAGGTTCATTCAAAGTAACAATATACTCTTTGGTGATCAGTAAACATAGATGATGTATCCTGCTTCTGATGCTGGATGTAACATACATTTTCAGGGTTATTGAGCAGTTAAATCTAACCCAGACCAACTTGCATAGATTTTGGATCCAGGTGATATACATTACCAGAGTGTTTGTTGAGTGAGACTTTGCCTTACTAGTAGATAACATTTATAGGAGTGAGCTTTGTATTCTTTGATTAGGTATGTTTTTTCTTTGCTCAGGATATATATACCATCAGTGCCAACTACCATACATTTTATATAATAGATGTAGCTGTTGTTCAACTGAATATGATAAAACTGTGGATGAAAATAATTTGATTTTTGTACCTTTGAATGTATTGAATTAATTTGTAAAAGCTGTTATGATACAATGTTTGATATTTTATAAAAGTTTTTAGCATATGCAATCAATAAATGTATCAACATTTTTATTTTATTATAATTTTTACCCTGCAAACTTCTTAAAAACAGAATAGTAATGATCCATTTAACTGATCCTAGGTTAGTGTCACATTGTACTGGTATATCATGTATACTGAACTGTAAATAAGAAACATCTAAATAGGTAAAATCACAGCATGAATCATTGGATTATGTAAGAAGTGCACTATCTTGTGCTTTGGTATGGTATTAATAATAAATGTTAAACTATCATTTTTTTTTCAAATTAACAAAGGATATGCTTGAGTGACTGTATTTTGACTAGCAGTAAAAATAAAATGATTTTTAAGCATTTGAATTATTTTGATTCATGGTCTCTGCAAATGATATGATAGCATGTATGTATATTGAACATGGCATCCACATATTGCTATACTGGATGGGGCATAACTTTTACTGAATCTTAATCACAACCTTGAAATTTTATGTAGTACATGTACTCTTGGTTTCAACTGGTCAAATGTATTCTTAAATCAGAAAGAATTTAAACAAATATAGGCATAGGTCAGAACTTCATCAATTAGTTGGAAAGCGAATGCACTCAGTGACTCTATGGTTTAAAAGAAGCTGGGTATAAATAGCAGGAAAAACTACTTGATGTCCACTGTGAACTTTGTGTCCTCAACAAAACAATATGGAGTATACTATACTTGGTCTAAAGAATAATCTGTGTCTGCATTCACTTTTAGGTTAAACTGTTTTGGGCATTGAGAGTTTGTTTGTTGTTTAACGTCCCTCTGGAGAATTTTTCACTCATATGGAGATGCCAACACTTGCCGATGGAGAGCTGCAAATGACCTATGCTCGGCACTCAGGGCCAATGGGCAGTGAGGGATCTTTTTCAGGCCAGCATCTACTGCGACACTGGACCTCTGTTTGTACGAAGGACCAGTCTCTACGTCCCACAGTGGGATTCAAACATGTGACAAAAGGATCAACTAACTCCACGACTCTAGAGCATAGGCTCTTTCCACTGCACCACGTGGGCGACAGCATTGAGAGTTAAATGTGGATATCAGAACAAGCTACTCTGGGCTTATACTCTCTATATATTGATTGATTGTATGTTGTTTAACATTCCTCTCAAGATTTTTTCACTCATATGGAGACACCACCACATGCCGGTGGAGATCTGCAAATGTTGTCCTATACTCGGCACCTACGGCCATTGAGCATCGAGGGATTTTTTTCGTGCCAGCACCTACTGCGACACAGGACCTCGATTTATATGGTCTCATCTGAAGGACCGGTCTCCCCATCCCACAGTTGGATTTGAACCTGCGACGTAAGGATCAACTCCTTTCTTCGCTACTCTAGAGCAGACACTCTAACCACTGCGCCACTGGGGCAACTACTCTCTATTTAAGTCACTTGTGCAATGACTTTAGTTTAATTCAAAGTTTTGTACTGATCATGTTGAGTCACATTAGCACAAATATCTTTCTGCTGACCTTGACTAATGACCATCCGCAACTATTCTGGTTGGAAACAATATGTTAATTAATGCATAATAAGTGAAATTACTATGAAAGAAAAATGGTCTACTTAAACCACAAGTTATATTTATAAAAAATATACACTGGTCTCCTTAAGTCATATGAGAGAAACATAAAATATTAAGGAGACCATTTTTTTCATATATTTTTAGGAGGCATTTATTATGAAAAAATAAAGCAAAAGTCGACTAAATGGTGTTCTATAGATCTTTGATCTGGTATTTCTTTTTCGAAAAAAGCAAATTTAAAAAATCTGTATATTGTCTCCTTAAGCCATATATAATGGTCTGGTCTCCCTAGTCCTTAAATCAGAGTTATATATATATATATATATATATATATAAGGAATAAATTCAAAAGCTACCCATATTATTGCGGTTTATAAAAAAGCGTAAACTGTTCCAACCCACTTTATACCGTATAAATTGGGTAGCTATTAATTTCTTTCCTTATCATTTAATTTTCATTCATTTAGTGTAAGAAAAAGATGGTTGCCCTTAAAAAATGACTTCAAATTGTACAAAATTTAAACCCAAGTTATACGATATAAAGTAATTTTTTTATCCAATCAAATGGCGCGTTACAATCAGAATTAAATTATATATATATATATATATATATATATATATATATATATATATATATATATATATATATATATATATATATATATATATATATATATATATATATATATATATATATATATATATATATATATATACATGTATATATATATATATTACATACCTCGTAATAAGTACAGGATTTTTGCATATGCGATATGTTTGACGTCACAATAGCCGTATCAGCCCTACAGAGCTGATATGGATCCGTGGGGCTGATAAGAATCAATATTACACCCCTAGTAAATTAAACCTTAATAAAAATTATACTTGTGATAATACAGATTTTTTTTTTTTTTTTTTTTTTTTTTTTTGGTTCACGTTCTCTTAATTTGAAATTACTGTTCTTTGATACAATAAGCTAAGTCAATTTTCATTAGTTAGTGCATTATTTGAAAATATATCTGCTTCTAATGGACTGAAAAATGAATAAAACCATGATCAGTTTGTATTACATATGCATTAATTTATGCTTATAATGTGCAGTCAAAAACGATCTGAAATTGTAAAATGAATTTGTTCTTATACTTACCAGGTACTTGTTTTTCATGCAGTGTACTAGTAAGAATAGTATTTATATTTGGAATCTAATACATTGAAAGGAGAACGTATAAATTGAGACCCTGGCACAAAACGTTCTCAAAATTTTCATAATGTTAAGTGTCTTGTATTTGTCTAAATTTGCAGCCATCAAACGTTAACAGGGGAGTCATCCTGAAATTAGTTAATATCCTCGAAGTGACGTAAAGCAAGAAACCAAAGAGCAAACTAGCTTTGGACGCATACTAGTCTCTAATCTTTAAAATCCTATTTCAGTTAATATAGCACGGGGGAAAGCAACATGGCAAAGCACTACGCATGACATAGCATATTCTGGTTCCGAAAAAGCTGTAGACGGATTGAATAATGACCGTTCTTACCTTGGAAAGCAATGCTGCGTGTCAGAAGGTAAACAAAGGACAGCTACTTGGTGGGTTAACCTTGGAAATATTCTTAGCATAAACAACATAATGATCTACTACAGGACCGATAATATTCTCTGGAGTAAGTAATATATATCTATATCTATATCTATATCTATATCTATATATATATATATATATATATATATATATATATATATATATATATATATATATATATATAATTTTTAATGATGCATTTTGCCTTGCCTTTTCATTGGCCTATTTCTCACATTTTATTTATTTATTTATTATTTTTTTGTAAAACAATTTTAAAATAAAACGTATACTTTTAAATACCATCTTATCACAAAGGAAAAAATATTTAGGAGGGGGCCATTTTAAAAAATCCCAAATAAAAAGTCACAAATACTCTAAATGAAATTTTTACTTAAATGATAGTCGGCGTTTTAATTCAAAATATTGTCAACTAACATTAGTGATTGGTGCTAACAAGGATTATATTACGAAGTCACGGAGCTATCAGGTAAAGGTCTTCGAAGTCATTGCATCAGAAAAGATGTGCCCTCTCCTTCATATCTTTTCAAAGTACTACCCTGTGTGTTTAGTTCATATTTTGTGTCACTTTATCCATTCATTGTAGAATTTTTAATCATATTCCTTGACTAGTTTAGAAATTTTTGATCTTCTTTTGTCTTCCAATTCGTCAATTTTTTCTAACTCTTTGTTTTTTTGCTACAATTTCACCGTCGGAAAGACTTTATAATGAATTTGTGCCAAATTGGAATGGCCAGGTTGCACTCTATGAGTCCTAGTAGATCAAGCTCTAGAACTGTTGCTTTAGTTCAATGTACAGGTGCATAATCTACTCCACCATGTTAAAAGTTCACAGCGAGATACCTTTGGCCTTTCGCTCCATTACCTCTACTATCCATGTAGAAATTCTCGATGCTTAAAGTCAAATAGTGGAAATATTGTTTTTAGTGAAAAATTCAGGATTTGACATTTATTTCATGCTTATGTCATATGTTGATAAGCAACACTTGCTTAATTTGCAAATAAAAATTGATATCTTGCTGATCATTTTTCTTTTTTAAAAAATTCATTTTAAGGATACCTAAGCAGCAGAGATAAATTCAAGATTAAAAGTACAATGTACATGTCAATTTTCAGGGAGATAGCTTTTTTTGGGGGGGGTGGGGGTGGGAATGGATCCTTTATGCATTTTCATCCATTAGAGAAATTGTATTTGTCACTTTATGTAATTCAAAAAATTCTAAATTTGTCATCAGATGAGAACAACCCATACACAACACGATTCCTGGGATTCTCTGTATATATATCCAACACAACAGACAGAAATGATGGAATATCATGTTTCCATGACACAAGTTATACTAAATTTACCATACCCGACCATGTAAACATCAGCTGTCCTATACATGGCCAATTCGTAATCTATTATAATGAAAGGCTGCAAGGAGAACATTACCCTAATGATTATCATGTTGATGCCTTTGTTGAACTGTGCGAAGTGGAAGTCTACGGTAATTGAAAATAAATTTAAAGGTTTAATAGAAGTTTAACTTTAAAAAAAAATTAATTTAAGCTTTTTGTTCAGAGATATGATTTATATAATTATATATATTTTTCAACATTTGCTTTCTTTGATCGTAGGATGCCCAGTACCTGGATATTACGGATCTGATTGTTCTCGTCCTTGTCCCCAGTCAAGCTGTCGATATTGTCACATACAGTCGGGTGTCTGTGAAGGATGTAAACCTGGGTACAAAGGACATCAATGTGAACAACGTATGTTTCACTTAGTTGTGTCCATCTCGTTTATTTGCGATCAACACTATTATACTTAGAAATTATATTTCATTAATTTCATTTTTTAACATAAAATAAGCGTGTGACCATAAATTTTATGGAGAGCTGTGCAACGAAAGGTGTGGAAACTGCAGTGACGGAGTAACATGTCACCATATCAACGGAAGCTGTCTAAACGGATGCGACGTTGGAGTTTATGGAGATAAATGCAATATATGTATGTAATATCCTTATGAAAGAAAAGTTAAATTCCTTCCGATTTTCTTCCTATATACCATAATAAGTATTTTATTTCTAAGTGTTTGTCTAATTGCTTTTCACAATTATCTCATTTCTTGATAAATGAAAAAAATCATTTTCAACTTATTGCTCGGAAACAAGACATTCTATTTAGGAAAATTTATAGGTAGATAAATATAAAAATAATGAAAAGGGAGGGCCTATGCAGAATCTTACGGGCATTCAGAGGAGAAAAAACGAAATGAAATCCAGATTTTTTTTTTGTAAACCGAGACATTGTCATTGATATTTTAAAAAACAATTTGACAATATCAAAATCTTCAAAGAATTCTAGACCTGTGTGTTTCATATTTAGTGTGAATGTGATCCCATAGTAACACTAATACGTGAAGTATTCTGCTTTCAATATTTTTTCTTGATTATTTTCAGAATTCTTCTTCCTCTTTTATTTTTATCGCAACTGTTACGATGTGTTTTCTGTCATGTTTTTACAATAAGGTTTTAATTTTATCATCTTCTCAGATTTTGTTATCACAATTAGTCATCATTATCTTATCTCATAGCATTACCCAAACTGTAAACGATCCTCTTACATTAAAAACATATATTTCAGTGATCTTTCTTCGTCAAAACATTTTCCATCCTGAATTACATGTCCTTTTTTATCTTCAGCTTGCCCTAGTGGTTGGTATGGAAAAAACTGTTCAGAAAAGTGCAATAATTGTGAAACATGTGACAGATTCAAAGGACAATGTACTTCTCCTTGTAATACCGGTTGGAAAGGATCATTCTGCACGGAAGGTATTTGGATTGTGAACGAATAGAATATGAACATAATGCGTATCGGTTAATGTACGTGTACATGAAACATATTAAAGTCGAGTCATCAAGATGATGAGTTTCTAAATGATTATGTAGAAAAAAAAAATAAATCATTATTGAATAAAATAGAAAAATAACACCATCAGGAAAAATCAATTCTAAAGGAATCGGAATTAAAATGCATATTTCTACAGTCAAATGCAAATCATCAAGAATTAAGATATATTTTTTTTTCAAATTCTATTTTATTTTATTATTATCATTATTATTATTTTAATTATTATTATAATTATATTCTTTTTTGCGCATAAAAAAGAACAGAAAACAGATTTAGACGAATGAGAAAGTACATTTATTTAAAACTGTATTACAGTCAGTTATTAGTCCTCTTTCCTAAACCGGAGGGGACTCTAGGTGTACCCCTTGTCGTTCTGTCTGTTTGTTTGTCTGTCTATCAGACTATCCCGCTTAGTTTTCCACGCTTTTTGTCTTAAAGCTTGCAGATATTGAGCTGATTTTTGACATGTGATTGTACCTTGAAATATATATATCAATTATGGTTTTCGTTCCGCTTCGATGATTTTTGACTGACTTTTGTTCTTTTAAACGTCCAAGGAGAACCAGGTCCCCCCTTGGTTTTCCACACTTTTTCCCTTAACACTTTGAAATATTAAACTGCTTTATTGGTACGTGAGTCTGCCTTTGAGAATTTCGGCTTTTTTTTTCTTAAAAAAAAAATAGGGGACCCAGATTACAATTGCCGGTATAGGACTAGCATTTTGCTTGAAATAATTATTTTTAAACCATCATTATTAAAAACCCACTAAAAATACTGTTTTCATTATGAATAACATAGAATTTTAAAATTTGCATCAATAGAATGCGATGGTAGGAAGTACGGGGATGGTTGCAAACTTGACTGTGGAGCCTGTCTGGGATATAAACAATGTCATCACATAAACGGCTCATGTCTTGAAGGCTGTGACCATGGTTTCAAAGGAGGATTCTGTAAAACAGGTGAAATATATTTTTTTCAGTTGTCATATTTACATTAAATTACCATTTATCATGTATATAGATTTATTCAAATCAGTTACTAAAACCGTTAATATACTTTATGTATTCCATTAAATGAAAACACAATTGGTTCATTGTAGAGAATTGAAACTTTTTGGATAAATTTCAGCTTGCATGGATGGAACATTCGGTATTAACTGCAAACAAAACTGTAGTGTTAACTGCGGTGTACCGAACAGATGTAATAGAACGACTGGAGAATGTAAAGACGGATGTCAGATAGGCTGGGAAGAACCTCACTGCCAAAATAGTAAGTATTTTTTGTACAGTTTGTATGATTTTTATGACAATGTCAGCTCTGTATACAGATATGGATATAAGGTAATGTGTAGAGATTTTCAGGTTTACTTATAAAATCCTTTTTATTAGCTCACCTGAGTCAAAGACTCAAGTGAGCTTTTCATATTGAAGGGTGTCCGGCGTCCGTCTGTAGTGTGTAGTCTGTAGACTTTTCACATTTTCGACTTCCTCTCCTAAAGCCCTGATAAATCATATCTATATGGAGGAATCCTCAGGTAGTGTAGAATAAATTTTGTTCCATGTCCCTTGGGAATACATTGGGTCACAATGGGCGGTCAAAGTTTTACAAGTGAAAACATAGGGAAAATCTTTTAAAATCTTCTTAACTACAACAAAAATCCATGATTAGTCATATTCATATAGAAGCATCCTAAGGTAGTGTAGATTCAAGTTTCTTCAAATCATGACCTTGGGGGATAGGGTGGAGTCTCAATGGGAGATCAAATTTTTACATAGGAATATGTTGAAAAAGTCTTTAAAAATGTTTTCCACAAGAACAGCAAACTAAGCAATGAATGGTCATATTAATATGGAGTCACCCTCAGGTAGTGTAGAATCAAATTTGTTCAAATTATGACTCCCGGGGACAGGTCTGGGCGACAATAAGAGAATAAACTTTGCATATAAATATATATGTGAAAGTCTTTAAAAATCTTTTAAAGCCATGATTAGTCAAATAAATATGGAAGCATCCTCATGCAGGTAGTGTAGATTCAAGTTTGTTCACATCATTACCTCTCCCGTACCCCTCCCTGGGTAAGTAGGGGTCACTTATATATTGAGACTTTTCGATATTGAACTGATCTCTGCATTTCTTAAACCAAAGTGCTCAGATGAGCGGTGTGGCCCATAGACCTCTTGTTCTTTTTTTTTAAATTTATTTTGTGCCATTTTAGAATGTGGTATCAAAACGTACGGACAAAACTGTAACCAGACCTGTGGTAACTGTCGAGATAAAGCAAATTGTCACCATATTAATGGGAAATGTCCAGCTGGATGCACTAAAGGATATAAAGACATATACTGTACAGCGGGTATAATTTTTCCCCCAAAATATTTTGTCTTCATACTTGCATATCATCTGCTTGACTATTAACACTTTCTTGATTTTTCTGTTTATTCTGGGCATAAAATAATATAAAACTTTTTTTTTTACTACAGTGTGTTTTCCGGGAACTTTTGGCTTCGACTGCATGAAGAACTGCAGCACAATGTGTGTTAATAGTACATGTAACTCTATCACTGGAAACTGCCCAGTAAGTAGCATCATTTCGTCTAAGTGCTTTATTTCTCTTTCATTAAGATCCCATAAACAGCTGCTTATCACAAACTGTGATAAAGCATTATAAAGAGATTTATTGAAAATGTAAATTCATTGTAAAATATAGGTGTGGAAAATGGTGAATGAGGTTTTGAAAATCAAAAATAAGATTAATAACTTAAAGCATATTTCACAATATTTTGCAGAAAATATCACCACAAACAAGTGAAAAGGATAACATGGGTGCAGTCATCGGAGGAATTTTGGGTTTTGTTGTCGCATTTGTCGTTGTTTTGATAGTGGTTATAGTTTTAAGAAGGTAACTTTTGCCTCTAATACCCCTGATGTATCCTCTGCACATAATATATGCTGTAATATTGATTTCGAATAGTTTCTAAGTATTATTTGCCAATTTATTTCATTGTTCTTATCTTTAATTACATTTTTTTTCATTACAGGCGAAGTTTAAGAAAGAATAATAGCGGGAAGGGGTATACTGATAGAGCAATGAATTGTGAGTGAATAATTCACTTTGAATGCGAAATGTGTATATGTATTATTCTACAGCACATTGATAAAAAACACTTAATATACATTTTTTTCACCATTTCAGTAAAAATGGGGGCGCTTGAGACAGAATTCACTAACATTGATTCAAAAACTGATCCATTATCAAAAAGCCCTGAAAACAAGTACATGACGTCAAAAAATGAAAAACCTCTAATATCGCAGAAGAAGGGGGATGAGGCTGATGTCGATGAAGATGAGTTGATACATTCAGAGAATCCTTATGGAGATTTTTACGCTAATGAAACTACTATTCGAGATATACCTTTAAATCAACTTGAGTCAGTTATTGTAGAAAATAGAATAAATGAAGATGAAGGATTTCAGAAAGAATATGCAGTAAGAACCGATCAATTTTATATAAATAAATATATAAATATTTTCTTTCAGGCCACCTGGTTCAGGTTGTCTATTGTATCTATTTTCGTCAGTCGTCGTGCGTCGCCTGAACATTTAAACATTTTAGCTTCTTCTCTTGGCCCGTTGAATCAATTTTAAGCAGATTCGGAATATAATATATATCGACAAAGGAATTTCATTAGAATGAATCTTAAAATTAAATTATACACACTCAGCGTATTATTTTAGTAATATTAAATCTATTGCAGACACTACCATATGGGGAACAATACAAGTGTGACGCTGGAAAGATGGATAAAAATATAGTTAAAAATAGATTCAAGACAACATTTCCTTGTAAGTTTCAAGATATCAGAGAAAACCATAATAAAAAAGGGAAATATAAAACTTTTTTGTTCCATACACAAATACAAGTTCTGTTATTTTTCAATCCATTTTTTCAATGTTAGAAGACATCTACTTCCTTTTTTGTTTTGTCTTTTCGTTTCATGCAAAATAAATAATTCAAATACAAACAGATTATTTGTTTTCCTATATACAGATGATCATTCAAGAGTAATACTGAAGACAGAGAGTGGATCAGACTACATAAACGCCAACTATATTGATGTAAGTTCTTACTTAGACGAGGTCAAAGGTTAATTCTTCAAAATTTATTGATTGTATTTTGTTTTACGTCCCAGCCGAGAATTGTTCATTTATATGGAGACGTCACCATATACCAGTTAAGGGCTTTAATGTAGGTCTATGCTCGACACTCAGCGCCCTTGAACAGTAAGGGTTCTTTCGTGCCAACTTCTATCGTGATACGGGACCTCGGTTTTTTAACGTCTTATCAGAAACACCTGTGACTTTCACTTCTGATGCCGGGAGCTTGGCGAAGAAACAGTCACTACCTATGTCAATGTCTTAGGTTTGACGCAGCGCGGCGCGGGGAACGAGAATCGAACCCGGGCCTCCCGATCACGAAGGGAACGCCCTACCACTAGGCTACCGTGACAGCTGTTCCATAGAAAAAAATCATGCAAAAAATTAAATAAACTTCAATTGAAATATCAATAAACGCTTGTTGACACTCTTTATCTTTTTTCTACGTAAATTCAGGATAAAGACAGCCAAAATATTCAATTAGGCCAATCAGTCTTCGCAGTACAAATTTATATTTAGCTAAGTCTAGTTTCTTTTTTAATATCTTTTCTTTTTCAAGTTACGTAACAGAATAATGATGTCTGCTTTATGTATTTCTAGGGTACAGAGAGGGATAAGCAATATATTGCTGCGCAAGGTACATAAATATTTTGAAAACATAGCTTTTATTTGCGGTTCGATTTTACATGCACAAAATAATATATATATATATATATATATATATATATATATATATATATATATATATATATATATATATATATATATATATATATATATATATATATATATATTTATTTATTTATGAAAGTAGACAATATTTGGATCAAAGCAATTGGCATCTTTCTCTTTTATCATCGGATAAATCCTAACTGAATTTTTGTGTTATTTAAATAGGGCCGAAACAGAACACAGTAATTGATTTCTGGACAATGATTTGGCAAGAACGCGTGACAACCATTGTAATGTTGACCAATTTAAAGGAGGGGATGAAGGTATATTATACAATAAAAATTGGCTTATAAGGAAGTTCTGAAGTTTTTATATATCTTTTTCTTTCTTTGACTTATTTTTTTTCTATATTCATATAAGAAATTTTATGACGTGGGATATTTTGACTTCTTTATTATCGAGATTTGATTATATCTGACTTTCTTAAAAGCTACCCAGCAGGCATTTCAACGTTGATTCAACGTTGAATCAACGTTGCTCATCAACGTTGAATCAACGTAGAATTTTGGTTGCATATGAAAGCTGAGGCAACGTTGAGACATCAACGTTGTTTCAACGTCATTTTTCAACGTTGAATAGACGTTGAAAATGGGTTGAACTTTGGTTGATTTATAGTTGAATTTTGGTTGCAAATGAAAGTTGAGGCAACGTTGAAACTTCAACGTTGTTTCAACGTCAAATATCAACATTGAAAAAGGTTGAACATTGGATGAAATTAGGTTGAGTTTTGGTTGAAATTTTTTGGTTTTACAAATGTTGATATTTGGTTAAAATCACGTTGAAGTCATACTGAGTTTTGCTTTATAAACAAATACATTTCACATTCTAATAAAAGGTTTTATTCAAGTTGCGAAATATGTAAGTTGTAATTCAGTATTAAGGTCAAGATCTAGTAAATGATTTTAGACTGCCTTTTTGATGCTAGATCCATTATGACGTCATAATCAAATTAAACTTTCTTTTTCCCGTACTTTACAGCTGCAAAAGAATTATGTAGAAAATAAAGTACTTTTCTGGAATTCAATTTGAAATCCTGTGAAAAGTAATCCCGAAACCTATATTCAATTTAATATTATTTTAAAGAAGGGGCTAAGAACATACAAAATACCGTTTTCTGAGGGACTGTAGGCAATCTGGATACATTTAATTTGTCTGATATGGAAAAAAACTCCCATATTCATGACTGATTTTCTTAATTTTTCATTGAAAATGAAAGTCTAAGACATGATTTTTCGTCTTGTTTACCTACATATTATGCCCCGAAACACCTTATTTGACCAAGCTATACTTATAAAGCTTCATTTAGGGAATTTATTTCTCAAATTTGAGAAATCTGTAGGCTCCTTTTATTTACTAGATCTTGACCTTAAGATTCTGAGTAAATTTATTTTAAGCTGTATTTTAAAAACAAAGATAAATCCAGGATCCAATCACCGAACCTCAAAAATCACTGTTTAACAAAATTTATCTTCCTAGTGAAAAGGGGGTCACAGTAATCATATCCAGGTTCATCATATCATGCATCTGTCTAAAACTAAGTTCCACAAAGTGGCGGATCCATTGATTTTAAATCACGCGCATAGTTACATGTCAGTCCCACAAAATGACTCGTCAGTCGGAAAGAAATGAACAGGAAGCTCCATCTTCTAATGCAAAACCTATTACCAAAAGAAATAGTGATATGAAAGTCATTTATTTGATAACTTGTTATTTCAAATGATAAAAATATACATAAATAAAAAAAAAAAAAAAAAAAAAAAAAAAAAAAAAAAAAAAAAAACAGACAAAAGAGCATGTTCTTATACTTGGAATTAATGAAAAGAATTATATTTGTCCTCGTGTTAAAATTCATAGCTGTAACAGTATGATTATAAATAATTATTACTGAAGAAAAACGTTAAAAACATGGAGGTGAACATACACAATGTTGCATTCCTTTGCAATTTTCACAGGCGATGAATCTCATCCAGTCAGGGCATCAAAGCCGCCAGTGGTTGATGGAACCTTATGGCCATCTGCAATTAAATTGTATACTATATTTTAATTTCATGTGCAAATGAATATCAACCAAACACATAAATACACGAACTAAGGATGTGCATTTCACGCTGATTAATTCAAACAATATTTTATTATGTATAATCATAATAAGGTTGGAGAACAGGCACTATCTGCCTGTATAAGTCCTTTCCATAATACAAGATTAATGTCATACATTAGTTACATATCATTGAAAAAATAAATATATACATGTGTATATTCAAAAGAAATTTATAAAAATAAGACAAAATAAATTGTAGAAAATTAATTATAAGTGAGCTGATGATGCAATATATGTTTGCAGTTTAACATATATGACTAACAAAAATAATACAGATATAAATGTGAAAGTTAATAAGAACACATTAATAGGTGCTTGTTCTGTGGTTTGACAATTAAAAAAAAAAAGAAGAGAAACGATATCATGCAAATCTCTTTGTAGATGTAATAAATTCATGAGCAAGTTTAAATACTGCAATATTTTGGTTGTAAGTGAGGTAATTGTCTCCATTCAAAATAAGTTGTAAGGATAAAGGCATTGGTAATTGCGAAATATTAAAGTTTTGCATGCAGATTACAAATATGCTTACAAAACAAGGATAAAATGACGTATGGGTACTAGAAAATCTAAAATTTCTTCTAAATCCATGAAAAGGATATTATACTTACTGAGCAGAAGTTGATAATCTAGCCTTAATCCTTGTACATGGTGTGTAAAATACATAATATGTGAACAGCAAGAAGACGCGCACTTATTGTCCATCAGTTGAATTCAAATTTTGACCTAGATAAGCTGCAAACAACTTCTCTGTATCGCTGCCCAGCAAGGAAATTGCATAACAAGGTTATCATGACACTGAAACTGACCAGCTAAGCTAGAACCACTCCTTATCTGATGCCTTGAAGATAAATTTGGGGAGTGGATCTAAGTAATGTAAACTGAACGGGGTTAATTGTTAGTGTGAAAACTGTTAAACATTTTGTAACGTGCTTATTTTAATGTTTTTATATTTTGTGATAAAAAAGATTATAGTAATATATCTAAAACAGTTTCCTTTTTTTTCCTTTTATATAAATGCAACAAAAGCACAATCTAATGTAAAATCAGACTTGTTAGATCCGCTCCGTATACATTCTGCGTATACGGCACGGATCTAAGAAGTCTAATTTTAATTCGATTACATTAATTCGGAATAAATTATTATCTTTATTAATTCTATAGTACATGTAACATGAAATTACAGTGAAGTATTGGATAAAGATGTCATTATTTATAAAAGCTTATCTTAAGAATAAAAAAAGTTTCTCTTTTTCATTTATGTAGAAACACTGCATTCAGAATTAATTTACAAATTAACTTTTTTGAAACATGCAATTACAGTGGAGAGTTGAAAATAGATGTCATACTTCATATTAACTCATATTAAACATTTTATTACAGTACTGTAAGCACTATATATATATATATATATATATATATATATATATATATATATATATATATATATATATATATATATATATATATATATATATATATATATATATATAAATTACACTGATTTAGCGTTCATTACCCTTACTATTTTGACCTTGAAAAATAAGGCGCTCATTATCCTTTGTTTCAACATTAAATTTCCCTCACTTTTTCAACGTTGAAAATGTGTTGCATCCTCGATGTTGTTTCAAAGTAAAAATATTAACGAACATTCAAAGTTGAAAATATGCTGCATTTTTAACATCGCTTCAACCTTAAAATAACAGGAAATATTTAACGTTGAAAATATGTTGAATCTTCAACGTTGAATCAACGTTGAAATATGGAAGAAAATTCAACGTTGAAAATATGGTGCATCTTCAACGTTGTTTCAACAGTGAAATAACACCAAACATTCACATTGAAAATATGCTGAATCTTCAACGTTGTTTCAACGTTGAAATATCGACGAACATTCAACGTTGAAAATATGTTGCATCTTCAACGTTGTTTCAACGTTGTAAAAAGGTTGAGGATTCAACGTTGAAACCTCAACGTTGAAACAACGTTGAACTATAGTTGCTCAACGTTGCAACCTATATTCCACCTACTTTCAACGTTGAAACAACGTTGCGTGCCTGCTGGGTAGTTTTACTATATACTGATTTTTTTTCCAGTTTTTACTTTCATTTTAATCGTATTTTTTATACGATGTAGTTAATTTTAATTTTACATCATAAGTGCGTGGTGAAGGTGTAAAAAGTATTTCAATAAAATTTTCAGTTAATTATTCTTTTCCTTGCATAGACAAAATGCACTCAGTACTGGCCCGCTGCTAACAAACATATCAACTATGGAAGCGTATCAGTGAAATTGACTGATGAAAAGGTGTACGCATTTTACATCATTCGAAAATTGAGTGTGAACCATAAAGAGGTGAGTTTATATTTGCCGTCTAATATCTTTTTAAAATTCATGGCAATTTAAATAAAGAAATCACAGTTTTATGTTGGACGTTCACATATGTAAATAATAGGTAAAAAGACAGAATAAATAAGACATGGAATAAGATTTTTTGTTGAGACACGGAAATAAAGAAACTTATGTTGTTACTTCTAGATCTGATGACACAGTCACTTATGCGGGGTAAATGTTTAAGAGTTTTGTTCACGACAGGCGAGACTATGACATTCTGTATAAGTTTTGACTTTTCTATTGCCAGATTGTCAAAATTGGGAATTTAAGGTACATGCTATATTAAAATCAAATCATAAACGACATTACATGTGAATCCTTGTACGAGGTAATCACTAACACAATAATAGGAGAAATATTCTCACAGAACATAAGAGTTCTTGGATGAGCCAGCATATTAAGTATAAAAGCTCAAGACACATTAAACCTAAAAATGAGGAATTTTACGAATTTTCAGACAAATAAGTCCCGTGTTGTTACCCAGTACCATTATACATCTTGGCCAGACCATGGAACCCCAGATCCCCTATGCCTTGTCGTCTTCCTTGATCATGTGACCCGAACTAATCAGAAAAACTCTCAAACAGTTGTACACTGCAGGTAAAACAAAACAAATAAGAGATTTATTCACATTTTCCAGAAAGTTAATATTTGGGAAAAGTTTTTTTTTTCTTTTTTTTTTTTAAAAATCAAAATTTAATATATCTTATAACTGAACCTTCGGTACGCCTATAGTACTATGGATTAAATTAATTGATCATAAAGACGTTCCTTCAGTTCATGTACCTTAATTAAACATTACTTTTTCCCATTTTTTTTTCTTTCTTTAGTGCGGGAATCGGTAGAACGGGAACGTACATAGCACTAGACGTCCTGAATCAGATAGGAAGAAAGACAGGAAAAGTTAACGTAGCGGAATATGTCAAGAAGATGAGAGAAAACAGGATGAATATGGTCCAAACATACGTAAGTCTTATTTCATTTAGAAAGTGTTCCTAAAAAGGAAAATACAATTATGGGATCATCTTTTTTTTTAAATGTCTGTTTAACCTGACCCAACTCAAAATTCTTTTTTAACAATTCAAGGAAACATTTTTATTTTAATTCTGAAATTCTCATCATATCGACACTTGTTTAATTTTTTTTTCTTAAATTTTTGTGACAGAAAAATTTCCTTCCTGGGGTCACAATAGGGAATCTAAATTTTACTTTGAAATATATAGGAAAAATCTTTAAAAATCTTCTTTACAAAAACCACTTGGTCAAAAAAGCTGGAAGCTGAAATATATGGAAGCTTCCTGAGGTAATGTAGATTCTATATTGTGCAAATTATGCCCCGAGGGGTAGGATGGGGCAACATTAAGCATTGTAAAGGGGAAAATCTGGTGAAGAACAGGGAGGCCAAAGTTATCCGGTGAGCGTTGTGGCCCATGGCCCTTTTGTTTTATGTCTTTTGTTGGTTTATTCTTTTATTTAACATTAACATGAATTGTTATAAGTTTTTCCGCTTATCTGAGCCAGAGACTAAAGTGATCTATTCTGATCACACTTCGTCCGGCGTCCGTTTGTCCGTCTATCTGTCTCTAAGCTTTTTACATTTTCGACTTCTTTACAAGAACCAATATGCAAATTTCAACCAGATTTGCCACAAAGTATCCTTGTATAAAGGGAATTCAAGATTCTTCAACGGAAACATCATGTCTATGCCCAGGAGTTGTTAATTATGAATAAGTGAAAAAATAATGGCATCTTCTGAAAAAAAAAATTGAAAAACTAATTGGCCACTGAGTATAAAAATTATGTGTAAAAGTATGCAGTGGTAGTGTTACTTAATTTATTTTTTTTTTAAATCATGACCCCACAGGGTTCGGTGAGGTCCCAAGGTCGATGAAAGTTTTACATAGCATTAAATATGAAAAATCTTTAAAAAGTCTCCGTTTCAAAACAGAAATGCAACAATTGGACATAGTTATATAGAAGCAACCTCAGGAAATTCAGATTCAAGTTTGTTCAAATCATATAAGTGTGCCCCAACAGAAGATCAAAGTTATACATAGGAATATTTTTAAATAGGAATTCGAAGTATCTTTTAAAAATCTGATGAAGGGCAGGAAAACCAAAAATATAGTCAAATCAGATCAGAGGCATCCTCAGATAGTGTAGATTCAAGTTTGTTCAAATCATGTCTCCCGGGATAAGATGGGCCACAAAAAGTAGATCAAAAGTACAGGAATTTAAAAAAAAATCTAAAGCCAAGGTTAGTCAACAATATGGAAGCATCATCAGTGAGTGTAGATTCAATTTTATTCAAATCATGCCCAATCCCAGGTTGATAGGTTTGGACTACCGGTACTTATATATGTAAACTTTTCTATAATGAGCCGATTTCTGCTTTTTTCTTAGCCAGAGTGCTCAGGTGAGCGATGTACGCTTGGGCTTCTTATAAAATGTGCTTCTGAGTTTGAAGAGAAAAAGCTATCAGGAATTGCAAAATGTAAATGTAGAGATAAAAGCTTGCCAAAAAAAGAAATCATTATTTCAAGATTACTCGGGAAGCATTATCGATAATTGATCATTAGAGCCATGTACTTATACCGATTAATTGTTACTGAAAATAAATAGATAAATAATTCGCTTCTGAAGTTGAAGAATTACGTTTTCCCATTCAAATAATTTATTTATGTTATTCAGACATTTTGTATTTTTCAAGCAAAAGTGAATTAGCTGAGAAAGATTATTTTAAAGTTGTGTTATATAAAATTTAACAATATATTTATTTTGCAGGAACAGTACATGACCATTTTTCTAGCTTTAAATGAAATATTCAAATCCCCAGTCAACAGCACAACTATTGATGAATTTACTAAAAAGGCAGAAGCCATGGCGACGGACAAACCAGCCAATCAGAGTACATTGCGAAAAGAATTTCAGGTGCATTATGTTATTAATGTCTTGCAAAGGTTTATGCAGGCAGAAGGAACAAGGGATTAAAAAAACCACAAACAATAAAACAGAAAAAATATTTCTTTTAAGAAAATAAATTTAAATTGTATCAGTATTTTGAAGGAATAACGCACAAGGGACATTTGAAAAGTTCTGAGAACCGTTTGATAAAATATTAACCATTTAACAGAAGTTAATGAGTTTGATACCATTGAAAAGAGCAGGAAAATATTCACTTATTTTGAACTCACTTTCTTACTTTCATGACATAATGACCCTAAAGATAACTTCACAGTCTTTTTTTTTAAATTTCATTATGTTTGTTTATTAAGCTTTTAATGAAAATACGACCCACATATAGCGATGCTGATTTCAAGCTTGCGAAGGAAAGCTGTGGTGATATATATTTTAATGGTATACTGCCCCGTAAGTAAATATGATAAATTTTACTTTCATTTCACTTAAAGGAATTTGAAATTTTGATTTATGGATGAGCAGTGTTTAGAAAATTATTAAGTAAAATCAATATTCTAATGTATTGAAGATAATGATTCATTGTATTAATTTCCTTTTGATTTAGGAACACCATTTTATCGTTTTTACAGTTCTAAGACATGCATAATGTTCTATACAATTTCATTTTTTTCCCTAAATTAGTGGATAAATACAGCGTACATCTTTCGTCTGTTGTTCCCAAACGAGGGAACTTTATCAACGCCATCATCACACCGGTAAGTATAAACGAAGTTTATATTCTGCAAAACGCAAAAAATTCATGTTTTAATAAATAATGGAAAGGTGCATAGCTTTTATTTATTAACAACTTCAACTATCAAAAGGGATGGATTTTTGTTATTTTTGTCTTTTTTGCTTAATATGTACTTAAGAGTTGTTTGATCAAAATTGTCCTTACTCATTTTGCACTCCTACACTGATCCACTACAACGTCTTTTTCTTTGTTTTTCTGTTTTTTTCCTATAGTCATACACCAACAATAAAGGGTTCATAGTGACGCAGTATCCAACGGTAGAGGACGCTGTTGACTTCCTACGCCTGCTCAATGATCACGAGTCTGACATTGTAATATGTATGGATCCACTGTTCAAAGTAGACTCGGTGTGTGATTTTAAACATTTGACTAAAACTTGCATACATTTTTTTTTAAATTTTATATATTACTGTGTGTTTTTAATTTTATATTTCTGAATGGACAAATTTCTTTTGAAATGATCAATTTAAAATTTTTAAATTTTTTGTTAAAAACAGATGTTGACGATTTCTTTTTTTTATTAATACATTGCATGGTTCCCTACTTTTATAAAAAAGTAAAAGAGTTCAAGATAATTGATGGATGTTTATCTTGGTCATATTGGTTAGATTTTATTACTTACTGATCATATATCTGTTATGCACCATTTTCTTTTTATTTCTGTAGAGTAAGATGTGGTTACCAAGTCCCTCTTCTTCTAAGACGAACCCTCCTTTCACTGTTCACTTTCAATCAAATTCTGAAACTGACGTCAACATCACTATCGTTCACATCCTGCAGAAGAATGTAAAGATTAGATATCTACATTACGTATTTTATATCAATGCGTTAAGTTTCTCTTTTGTGTTTCAAATTTTTCACATTTGACCAGTGATTCTGGAAACATGGAGAAAAAAGATTTACAGCATTTACATGTTTTCATAGAGTGAAGAGGAAGCTCATCCTGTGACAATAATAGAACCAAAGGTCAGTATAAAAACATCCGGAACTCCTCTTGACACTTCTCAACTCCGGAGTCTTGTCTCAGCTGCACTAGGTGTTGAAACAGAGAATCCTATCACAGTTATAAGCAGGTTTTCAATTTAAGTTCAAGTTTATTTCTTTACAATAAAGCACTTATTTACATTCTTTCAATTCTTCAGTTTAAAAAAAAGTCTATTAAAGAAGATATAAAACATCACTTTCGTTAAAATTTGAGGTCAATATTGTGAAGGGTCATATGCATTTTATTAGGTCACCTGAGTCACTCAGGTGACCTATTGCTATCCGTTTTCGTCCGTCGGCGTGCGTCGTGCGATGTGCGTTAACATTTGAACATTTTTATCTTCTTCTCAGAAACCGCTCAACCGATTTCAACCAAATTTAGCATATAGCATCTATGGGTAAAGGGAAACAACAATTGTGAATTTCATGGTCCCTGCCCCCCTGGGGCCTGAGGGGTGGGGCTAAAAACACCAAAATTAATGCAATCTTTAAAAATCTTCTTCTTTACTCCTGGACATCAAGCAGTCAAACTGTTGGCATCATTGTAATGTGCATTGAGTCCTCTACCAAAATTGTGAAATTCATGGCCCCAGGGTCAGGGGTTCTGGTGCTAGGGCGGGGCTATATAGATCATATAGTGAAAATGCATTATTTCTTTGAAAATCTTCTTCTCTGCTCCTGGGTATTAAATGAACTAAATAAGTATATAGTTATGATGAGTAAGAGTGTCTCTTCCAAAATTGTTAAATTCATGGCCCCAGGGTCAGGGGTTCTGGTGCTAGGGCGGGGCTATATAGATCATATAGTGAAAATGCATTATTTCTTTGAAAATCTTCTTCTCTGCTCCTGGGTATTAAATGAACTAACTAAGTATATAGTTATGATGAGTAAGAGTGTCTCTTCCAAAATTGTTAAATTCATGGCCCCAGGGTCTGGGATTCTGGTGTTAGGGTGGGGCTCTATTGATTATATAGTGAAAATGCATTAATTCATTGAAAATCTTTTTTCTCTGCTCCTGGGTATTAAATTTAGTAATTAAGGACATAGTTATGATGAGCAAGAGTGCCTCTTCCAAAATTGTGAATTTCATGGCCCCAGGGGCAGGGGTTCTGGTGTTAGGGTGGGTGCTCTATTGATTATATAGTGAAAATGCAGTAATTCATTGAAAATCTTCTCCTCTGCTCCTGGGTATTAATAAACTAACTACATGTAAGTACATAGTTATGATGAGCAAGAGTGCCTCTTCCAAAATTGTGAATTTCATGGCCCCAGGGTCAGGGGTTCTGGTGTTAGGGCGGGGCTCTATTGATTATATAGTGAAAATGCATTATTTCTTTGAAAATCTTCTTCTCTACTCCTGGGTATTATTGAAACACATTAAATACATAGTTATGATAATCAAGGATGCCTCTTCCAAAATTGTGAAATTCGTGGCCCCTGGATCAGGGGTTCTGGTGTTAGGGCGGGGCTCTATTGATTATAAAGTGAAAATGTTTTAATTCTTTAAAAATCTTTTTCTCTGCACCTGGGTATTATTTAAACAAACTAAGTACATTGTTATGATAAGCAAGGATGTCTCTTCCAAAACTGTGAAATTCATGGCCCCGGGGACAGGAGTTCTGGTGTTAGGGCGGGGCTATATAGATCCTATAGTCAAGGTGAATTAATTCTTTGAAAATCTTCTTCTCTGCCCCTTGGTATTGTTTATCAGACTAAGTACATTGTTATGATACGCAAGGATGCCTCTTCCAAAATTGTGAATTTTATGACCCCAGGTTTAAGGGTTCGGGGGGGGGGGGGGGGGGGGGCTTCTATTGATTATAAAGTGAAAAAGCAAAATTTCTTTGAAAATATTTTTTTCTGCTTCTGGTTTAAAAAGCAAAGAAGCTAAGTGTATAGTTATGATGAGCAAGAGTGCTTCTTTCAGAGTAGTGAATTTTATGACCCCTGGGTCAAATCTGCTGGTGTGAGGGTGGGGCTCTTGATAATATAGTGAAAATGCATTAATTCTATTAAATAATCCTCTTTGCTCCTTAGTGTTAAGCAGATAAACAAAGAGATTAGTTATGAGCAAACTTATGGTCCCAGGGTCAGAAGCTCTGGTGTTTTTTTTTTTTTTTTGGGGGGGGGGGGGCTCTATTGATAATATAGTGAATCTGTAGTAAAAATGCATTATTTCTTTAAAAATCTTCTCCGCACCTGGGCATATCTGACGTAAATAGAGTAAAAATTTTTATAAGGAAGGGAATTTTTACCAGATTTTTGAACATGTGGACCATTTGGTCAAGTGTTCTGGTCCTGGCCAGGGCTCTATTAGTTTGTATTCTACTGAGAGGAGTTATTCCCCTTTGCCACTTACTTTTGATAATTTATCACTGTAAATAATGTACTTGAAAGGTAAATAGAATAAGAGAATTATGCAAAAACTTTTATTGTATAATACAAAAAGTACTTTCATTGTTTTAATGATCAAATAGACTTGTAAGTAGTAGATAAATAAAACTGAGACAAAAATAACTTGTCTTATTAAATGTTCATCAAAGACCAAGAGAGGCCAATGTAAGAGATTTCAACCGTATGGTGATAGGGATAAATGGGGAACGGATTAGAACCTAATTCATGAACTGTTAATGAATATTAAGACCAATTATTTTTTTTTTCTTTTGGGCAACAAAGCTTCACCTTTCAGTTCATATTATACTCTATGCATCCTTTCAATTATTGTATCATACTCAGGTGACCGTTAAGGCCCTTGGGCCTCTTGTTTTCAAGAGTTTTCTCTAAAGTAGTGTTCAAAGAGAGTGTAAATTAATCTCATTTCCTTCTGTAATCGCCCCCATTGTTTTAGTAATACAGGAATGCGTCTTATTATATTTTCTCTGTAGCGACGGGGCGTCACTTTGTGGTGCATTCTGTGCCGTTCACAACGTGATACAGGAAATAAACATGGATGACAGTGTTGATGTCTTAACTGCTGTGAGACATTTGCAAGTTAGAAGACCAGAATTCTGTTCAAATCTAGTAAGTCAGAACGAGGCTCTGGAGTAAATATTACACTACAGAATTAATTTCAGCATTCGTAAATACACGTACATACACTTTAGGTGTTGGACTCTTTTATCACGAAAAAGACAAAGAAAAGAACTGTTTTTGATTTATTTATCTATTTTCAGGACGAATATCGCCTAGTGATCAAGGCCGTGTATGATCATGTTCTAAGTACTACGGAAAACATATACTGCAATCAGCGATAAAACGTGGATTCAAAATACCGCTCAGCGAGACATTTATCTTTATCCGAGAGAAATTCAACATGCATCAGAGTTTTCCTTTGCTTATCTAAATGAATTATGTTGATTGATAGAATTATTTTTTGTTTATTGTTTGTTTTTCTTTGGGTAACAAGAAATTTTTATAAGAATATTTCTTAAATGTATAAAAAGAAAATAACACTTTACGATAAATCTTCTACGAATTTCCATAATATATGTATACTGGTTACTATATTATAATGAAAAGATTGATAAAGATGCACATTGTGAGTAAATCCACGTGTTTTGTTTGATATATCATTTTCTCGATTTTTTATGGGAGAGTGTCATATTTGTAGTTTTGATGTAGTTTTTATTGTAAATTTCACAAATAAGAGTGCATGTCTTCTGAGTGAAGTTCATTTCCTGTTGCATTTCTCCATTAACGTACATTATATTATTTTCTTTTCTAACCATGAGTGCATTCTGATTCTAGAAGAAAATGAATCTTCCAAAACAAAATATTTTCATTTTTGGCTTGAAATATAGTAACATACCATTCAATTATGCATAAATATCATTGGGATTAACATAGACCTTAAAACTGCTTTCCCGATACATACCTCCAATTTTTTTATGAGTGATGTTCGCAGCACAGTTAAGGCTGCAGTAAGGAGGCGGGGCCTAATTTATACGGGAAATGCTTACTATGACATCACACAAAAATATAAGTTCTTCAAATTACCACAAAAAGAAATGATTTGTTATTTTAAACTGTTGAATAGCTTTAAACTACATCAATACTAACTAGTGCATGCATTATTGTCGTTGGTTAAATCCCACACAACAATATATAAACAATTCACTGATTGCAATGCACTTGTCAATGTGACGTCATATCGTAAAATTTGACGCAGTTTGTATGCAGTGAGAGGCGGATCAAGTTATATTTATACAATGAAAAATGTATTTTGTAATTAAATGAAATATAAATTGTAGATATATAAGAGGCCATTAACTTGGACGCGATGTCTATTTTATGATTTTATTCATATACTTCCCGTACATTCCCTAGACAAGCGATACTGTCGTATATTTGTATGCAGATTCATTGAAGGGTAATAGAAGGGTCGTAATAAATCGATATATTGCAAGGGCATACCCTCAATGAATTATGACAAGCTTTTACACATAAACTCAAGAAGTATGAAGATATTTGAAAAGTGCTGCGAACCTGTTGAAATCTTGCAAATGAATTAATTACATCTATATTTATTGTACTTGACCAGCAAAATATTCAACATACGGTCTAACAAATGCAATTTAAGCAATTAGATAGTAGAATCTATATAGGTTCGCAGCACTTTTCATAAAATACAAATAGAGTTGAAAATAATTATATGTTAAACTTAGATTTTTAACTTGGTTATGCCCTTGCAATATTAAAATTTATAGATGACCTCAATACTTCAGGTATATTTGCTAAAAGCACGTGACTGCCATATCACGTGACAAGTCTAAATAAGAAATCTAATCGTCCTCAACATGTAGTTTTCAACCACATTGCATTTGTCCGATAATATTTAAGTCCTAAAAAGAAACGCTCATCCTTGTAAAGAATGTATTTTCTATCTAAAAAATTCGCCGATATTTCCATTTGGCACCTTAACTGTACTGCGTGTATTACGAATGTAAGCAATCAGCAAATAGTTCACTGTCTAGCAATAGAATATTTATATTCCATTTACATTTTTGATTCTTTTTTAACGTCACAAATGTTAAAGACCGCATAATGCAACGTAAAAACTGAAAATCGACACTAGCCTTGAATAGTAGCTGTTACTTCTGCTCCCTAAATTTAGCTATTACGTCTGGTGTTTATCATAATATATTCAAATTAGTGACATTTAATCAATCTACAATGAAATCAATAAGTGTTAATGTATGTCCGTTAGTCAATTTGTCAGCACATCCGTCCGTATTATGACACGCTGAAAGTCCAGTCACAATTCAATTCTTAAATATTTAAGATAGCATTTTAATAGGTAGATATGAAAACAAGCGCTACAGAATTAATATCAGCATTAATAAATAGTCACCCCCTCACCCCAAAAAAATAAATAAGTACTTAAGAAGATACTACAAATACTGTACCAACATATAACTTTATGTCACCATGTTATTCATATAGCAAGTAATAAATAAATAATAACATTATTTTTTGTATATTGATTATATTGTGTATTTGGAGAAATTTCTTAGTTTCCACAACTGTCCTATGAAATTGATTTATATTACCTTATTTTCAAAATAAATGTTGATGCTGAGTATTTAGCAGATAGATACTCAACCTTAAGATATTTCAAAATGTTACTGATTACAATTGTATCCTCTTTTTAGGTCACCTGAGTCACTCAGGTGACCTATTGCTATCTCTTTTTGTCCGTCGTCGTGCGTCGTCCGTCGTTCGTCGGTCGTAAACTTTTGAACATTTTCAGCTTCTTCTCTGGAACCAGCAAACCAATTTCAACCAATTTTGGCATATAGCATTTATGGGTGAAGGGGAACAAAAATTGTTAAATTCGTGGCCCCTGCCCCCCTGGGGCCTGAGGGGTGGGACCAAAACCATCAAAATTAATGCAATCTATAAATATCTTCTTCTTTACTCCTGGACATCAAGCAGTCAAACTGTTGGCATGATTGTAATAAGCATTGAGTCCTCTACCAAAATTGTGAAATTCATGGCCCCAGGGTCAGGGGTTCTTGTCCTAGGGCGGGACTATATAGATCATATAGTGAAAGTGCATTATTTCTTTGAAAATCTTCTTCTCTACTCCTGGGTATTATTGAAACAAATGGAATACATAGTTATGATAAGCAAGAGTGACTCTACCAAAATTGTGAAATTCATGGCCCTAGGATCATGGGTTCTGGTGTTAGGGCGGGGCTATATACAGTACAGCTCACGAGTTTCTTCCACCCCACCGTGGAAAACACACGGTGGAAAATACCCCGTGTTACACCGTGTACACGGAGTTCCACCGTGTGTGTATATTGCGATTACACCAAAGACGCACCGTGTCACACCGTGGACATTACCGTTTCATCGGGTGACCCTCCGTGTTCCACCGTGCAAAAAAAATTACGGAAGAAAATGGTTTGTTTATAAAAATAATTTTAGCATTGAAACCATAGGTATGTTTGTTTAATTGCTAGAAAGAAATAATAAATGAAAAATTATTTAATTCAAACAGCTCACTATCACACATGTAAGGTCATAACATAACAGCGGCGTTCAGTGTAGACTTTGGTTCACCGTTGACGGTATACATGTATATATCAATTGAATAAATTTATTTTGATTTCTGTTGAATTCATACTTCATATTCATTTGAAAACAAAAACAACTACATGATTGTGCAAATTAATATATTTCTGACGTATGCTATAAGTGCGCAGGTACAAATCCAAGTACAAGTACACTGCTTTGAACTTAATAATTATTCAATGCCAAACATAGATACGGATCGATAATTTTAGCTGTTATTTTCTCTGTGAAATAATATGGTATTAAAGGTATTGACAGTAAAGGCATTTACAAATAATACCTATGATATCAGATAACTAATTTAGCATCATCTGATCACTACATCGTAAATAATAAGAGTGAAAAAAAAATGTCGAGTCAGTATATTATGATATTCATACGGTATATGAATAAAGTCTTATTTTGCAGAAATAAAATAAAAAGTGTAGACCACTTATCAATGAAGATACTAAGTTGCTACATGTGAGGAAGAAAAAGTACATGTACATGCAAGAAAAAACAAAAAACAAAACACGTAGCATTCACTAAAAAATCTTATACGCAGTTTGGTAGTCGTACAATCGGCAAATTCACATGAAAATCAAGCAGTTGTATGCATCCATTGATTAAACTTGACATTAAGAGACATAAATGTAAAAAATTCAATGTTTGAACGTTTATTTCTGTCGAATATGTAAAGTGTCAGTATATCTATTTGAGTATTTTTTTTTTTATTACTACTTAATCTTTTACGATCAGTACGAAAAGGAAAAAAAATCGCTTGAACTGCCAATGCAGCATTTTAAAAATTCTATTACAAATTATATACTATTCACTTTTTTCGTAATAATTAAAAATTATTTTGAATTCCATATTTTATAATGTTAAGATACGAGAGAGAGAGAGATTTTTTACTTTCAGGTTCATCCTTCTGTTCTTTTTTTTTTTTTTTTTCTCATATACATATAATGTATCTCTCTTATTTTTTTAAAGAAATCATAGTTCACCTCCAGTTTTTATTAATCGAAACGAAATAGAATCGGTGCAATTTAAGTACAAGTTCAACGCATCACACACGGAATCCACGTGCTCTACCTGTCAATCAAATACCGGATATCGATGAATTGCAGAAACTTCTCGTGTATGTATGGAGTCGCTCCTTGGCTAATATATTTCACACCTGTTCAGAAGAAAAATATATTGGGACATTCAGTTGCTGTGGCCCTTGGGACATTATTCACATGTTGAAACTCTAGACGAGTGTATACTATACACCTCAACTGGCTTCGAAACTTACATGTACACGTGTCGGGAAGTTAATTGGAACTTGAAAAATAAACAACTATTTATTTAATTGTTTATAGAATTTTTAGTACAGCAACATATTTTTTTAAAAAAAAGTTACAGTTACAAACGAATATTATTCAACTGTATCTATATTATATAAAGTCGTTATATACTGTAACATAACTTACATGTCCTGGTAAAATGAAGAAAAAAGAAATCATAACTCTCCATGTTGTAAAATTGTCTCTCTTTCGTTGATTTTATAATTTATCATTAAAATGCTATTTTTGAAAAGGATTAGAATAAATCCTTAAAAAGGACAGGTAATACAATAAATAGGCATATGTAAATATTGATCTTTTTTTAACATGTCTGTGTAGAAATTATCCATAAAACTCATTATGAAAAGGGGGGGGGGGGGGCTGTTATTAAACGTAGGAAGAGCACATATACAGTATGCTTGCTTT